AACAGGTCTTTTAAAAAAATTAATTTTCTTCAGGTTTATTGACGTTTAATTTGCACAAGTAACACTCATTCTTGTTAGGTTTAGAGTTCTACAAAATCTACCACGACAATCAAGATATGTAATATTCCCATCACCGTCCCCAAACTCCTCCATACTCTCTTCTGGCAAGTCTGGTTCCACAGCCCTTTAATAAGCTCTGCTTATATGTCCAATATTCTCTTTACTGTGTAGGATACTAAACACCTCTGGGTCATCTTTGTGCCCTGACTCATAAATTCTAGGGTAACAGGAAAAGGCCCATTAAACATCCTGTTACACACAGCTCTAATAAAAAAGAGTAATAACAACACCCACAAGCTCATATAGTGTCTGCCAGGCACCAATCTCATTCTTACACTAACTCATTTGATCTTCACAACAGCCCGGCCTGTGAAGTACGATCCCTAACCCCTTTCTTCCAGCTGAGGAAACTGAGGCACAGAAGAGATAAGGTAAACTGGCCAATCTCTCAGGGCTAGTGAGCCACAGAGCTTCAATCTGACTCAGCGGGTCTGGCTCAGGTCCACAATGCGAGGCACCACCTGTGCTGCCTTTCACGTAGAAAAGACACAAGACAACTGTACCCACAAAGCTCAAGTTTTAGCTGCGTATTTGGCTAAGTATGAACAAGGAAGTCCACGGTTGGGGGCAAAAGAGTACAAATCTCGACTGGTCGCTCTGCTTTGCTGACGGTGGTGGAGGGCGAGCCCCAGAGCATCCTGACACCCCCCTCCCCCCACATTCAGCCCACTTCCCGCTGCGCAGCCCGCTCATCTCCCGCCCTCTGCCCAGCACCCCTACCCGAGGGGCGCACCCGCCCATCCTGTTAAAGGCGCTCAGGGCCCCCAGCGGATCCAACAGCCTTCCCCCCCCCGGGGTGAGGAGAGGGGGGGGGCGGAGGGGGCGGGGATGCGCAGCGACCGCTCCATCCTCTCCAGCCTCCCGGGACCAAGGCAGTTCCCGGATCCGGGGCCAATTCCCGACGACGTTGGCCGCTACACGCCTCCAGGCAGCGGCCACAAAGCCCCTGGCTCGTGCCAGAGCGAGGGCTGCGCAAGAGCGGGGCGTGCGTGGCGGCGCGTACACCGACGCGCGGCGGTGGGCGGTGGGCGGTGCATGCGCGCGGAGCGCAGCCGGAGTCGGGAGACGCCCTTAGCTCAGGTGTGCTGGGCCGTCAGTTGGGTGTTGGCCTGTCCCTGCGGTCGCGGGACCCTGAACAGCAACTTTCCCCCCCGAGCTCTGGCCTTGGCTGCCAAAGCGGAGACTTCCCAGGAACACCCGGGCTCAGCGGTTTGGAGCGGCAAAGGGGCGGACCGCCCCCCCCCCCCCCCCGTGTGGAACAGCTGGGGCCCACTCCTAAGCCGCCGGTGGTTTCTTAGCACCCTCCGTCGCCTTCAGTGCGGAGGTTTTGTTTAACTGTTGGTGAATAAGATTTCTACTCGGATGCTCTAGGGCCAGCTCTGCCTGACACCGTGGCTTTGCGCCAGGCACGTCATATTCCTGAGCTCTTTATTCCCATTGTTAAAAGGGGGAGGGTGCGCCTCTGTTCAACACGACAGGTTATTAAATTGAAGGAAATGAGATGGCCATTTGACTCATGCGTGCGCTTGCATTGGATGTCACAGCCTGTGTCTGGCCTGGCTCACCTGCAGGGATCCCGTGAGGGAAGAGATAGCCTGGAACTTGTGGTGACACGAGTAATGTTGAAAGCACAGTACCGGATAGAGTGGAGGCCCGGTGTGAGTTATGCATGGGAGGGGGAGAGTCAGCAGAGGTTTCACCCAGGAGATGACCTCTGAAATGAGCCTTGAAGGATGAGATGGGAATGAGGTGCGCCTGGCACAGGGATACCTGAAAGCCTCTACAGGCAGGCTGTCGTCGTGTCTGGAGAGTTCTGGGAATAGCTGTGAGACCAGTGTTGGGGTGTGTGGGGAGGGAATAGGTGGGCTTGAAAGGGGAAGGTAAGGAACGAGTGTGGAGAGCCTTGAAAGCCCCTGCAGGCCAGGGAGGGAAGACTGCAGAGAGTCTTACAGGCAGGGAACTGACCTCAGATGTGTATTTCAGCAAAGTATCTCTGGCAGGAACCAGACAGGAATTGTAATTATACAAAGGGGATGTTGGAGGAAGGAAGTTAATCTCATAGTCCTGGGAGTAATGAGGGCCTGAGCCAGGCAGTGCAGTGGGGATGGAGACAGAAGCAGGATTTCAGGGAGATTTTGAAGATAGTAATCGACAGGCTTCAGTGTCTCCCCAGTACAGCCTACTGTAGGATGACTCCAGGGTCTGGAAAACCAGGGGGGAATGAGTCATTAATACATTTGAGTTTCTACCAAGTGCAGACCTTTTGCCAGGTATTCAACATTCAAGACCAGAAAAGACCTAGTCTCTGCCTTCTAGGTGTTTGTAGTTGAATAAAGAAAATGGATGCATACCTAGATGGTTATGTCTTTATCCATGTGGTGTACAGCATTACAGGTGTCTTTATTGAGACTGAGGTGGGGGTGAGGGCAGGGAGGGCTTCCTGGAGGAGAGAGGCCTGCATTTCAGGGAAACGGGAGTTCCTAAGCAGTGTGGGCATCTGAGGCACAGAAGATGCACGGGTGGGAAGGCCAGGCCATTTGTGATATGCTTAGAGCACTAGATGCAGATGTGGGAATATAAAACTAGATCAACTAGTAGAACTAAGTTCTGGAGTGTGAGGTGGGAGGTAGAGCTTGAGTTTTATTCTCCATGGAGGAGGTGTTGGTAAGTTAGAGTGGAGGCTGAAGCTGGGCTATGGTGGGGCATGCAAGAAGAAGACTGGTGTGGGGGTAGTGGGGTGGGAACTGGAGGCTGGAGGGGGGTGGTGCATGGGGCCTGAGGAGGAGGAGTAGAGATACCTACTGGCAGTTTACTGGCTAAGCAGAATGGCAGTTCACTTAACCTTGATAAGCTTGTCTCCTCACATGCCAACTAGGGATGGCAGTATTCACTTCATGATGTCGGGGTGATTCATTTGACAAATTTACTGAGCACTTTCCAGTGTTCTAAATTCCCAAGATACAGCTGAACTGCTGCAGTGTAAAATATAGAGGAAATACATACAGATTAAGTTGAAAAAAAAAAAAAAGAGGGCACAATTAGAGGTGGGCACAAGCAGATTTGGCTGTCATCCCCATTAGTTCACAGAAAAGAGGCAGATGAGCACTGAGTGAACAAGATTCCCCCAGTTGTAGGGCAAGATGGAGGCTGCCTGGTGACAGTGAGCTGGCTGTGGAAGAAACTGAGCACTCACGTATGCCTGAATGGTCTTGGCAAGGCCATCTTTAAAAGAATGATTTGCGGGGCGCCTGGGTGGCGCAGTCGGTTAAGCGTCCGATTTCAGCCAGGTCACGATCTCACGGTCCGTGAGTTCGAGCCCCGCGTCAGGCTCTGGGCTGATGGCTCGGAGCCTGGAGCCTGTTTCCGATTCTGTGTCTCCCTCTCTCTCTGCCCCTCCCCCGTTCATGCTCTGTCTCTCTCTGTCCCAAAAATAAATAAAAACATTGAAAAAAAATTTAAAAAAAAAAAAAATAAAAGAATGATTTGGGACGGGGCGATCTCTAACCTCTTGCCTGGTGTCATAACTTCTGGTGATCACCTGGATGCCTCCATTTCTGTTCATGGAATAGCTGACCCTAAGAGTTTAGCCAGAAGGAACCAAGATCCTAGGGGTCTACCGGGAGGACTCCAGCTCTGTGGAGCTCTGTCAGGGGCCTGCCTTCTCTTAAAACACTGTTCTCCAATGATCGTGTACTTGCTAGGTGCATTAAGAGGGGCATATTGACTTCTATCACCACTATTCGGAGTAGGCTAACTGTAGTTCTGTTTTATAGTTGAGAAGATTAAGGCATGAAGAGATTAGGTACCTTGCCAGAGGTGACACAGTTATCTGAGGGACTTTTTCTTTTTCTTGACTATCTGATCTGTGTCCCAGAAGTATTTCAAAGCTCTGCTCAGATGAATGTAAATAACAAATTAATGTTTTGTTTAAAATGAAGTAGCTTGGGGCACCTGGGTGGCTCAGTCAGTGAGGTTAAGCATCCAACTCTTGATTTTGGTTCAAGGGCATGATCTTACTGTTCATGAGATGGAGCTCCACATCGGGCTCTGTGCTGTCAGCACAGAGCCTGGTTGGGATTCTCTGTCTCTGTCTCTCTCTCTCTCTCTCTCTCTCAAAAATAAATAAATAAACATTTTAAAATAAAATTAAGTAGCAATAATGATTTATATATTTTATTTATAAATTTATTTTAAGTTTATAAATTATTATAAATTTATAAATATAATTTATCATATATTTATAAATAAAGTTTGAGTTTTATTCATAATTTTTAACTGAATTTCAAATCTTCAAAGACTAATAAAAATAGTGGTTAATATTTATTGCATGCTTCATAAACATAGTACAGTTGAGCAACATGGGGGTAGGGACACCAAACTCCCCACAGTCAAAAATCTATATGTAACTTAAGTCTCTCCCAAAACTTAATTATGAATAGCCCTACTGTCGACCAGAAGTCTTACTGATAACATGAACACTTAGTTAATTATTTTGTGTGTTATATGTATTGTAGATGGTATTCTTGCAAAAAAGTAAGCTGGAGAAAAAAAAATCGTAAGGAAGAGAAAAATACATTTACACTTTGGTATTTATCAAGAAAAATCCCTGTCTAAGTGGACGTATGCAGGTCAAACCGGTGTTGTTCAGGGGTTATGCGTCCATAGGTACTTCATGTGCATTTTCTCATTTAATCTTGCAACACCTCACGAGTTAGGTGTGATCATTATCACTATTTTTACTGATAGTAAAGTTGGAGTAAGATTGGAATGGGGTGGAGTGAGGTGGAATAAAGTTGGAGTGAAGTAAATTTGGATTGAGATGGAGTGAGGTGGGAGCGAGGGGGAGGAAGTTTGGAGTGAGGGGGAGTAATGGAGTGAGGTAGAAGCGAGGTAGAGTAACTGGTCCAAGTCACTTAGTCAGTGAGAGGCAGAACCAGCAATTGAACTCAGGATATTAGGCCCAGAACCTCAGCTCCTGACCACTAGGCACATCACCCCCGATAGGATTTGTCTTTGAGATCTTAACTAGGAACAGCAATCATTCAGCAGCCAAAACTGTTTTGTTTTTGTTGTTTGCAAGATCTCGGTACACCTTCTTATCCTTCTTTGTTGTTCAAGTTAAATAAGGGGCAGCTTTTCTCCTCGACGGAACTGAAATGGGAATTTGCTGGAGGATTTGAGGGCACACACAAATTCTGCAGCCTTGGGTTTGCGGAAGCCGAGGCAGTAAGGAGCGTTGGCCTCTGCCCTCAGGGGGGAGACATCTGAGCCGGCAACCCAAGGTAGGCAGCAGTGCGGTCGGTTCAGCGAGTGGTGTTAGTTTGAAAACTCGGAAAGATTTGGCATGTGTGTAGAAGATAATTTTCTGAAATGCCTCCCCCCACCCCACCCCCGAAAAATAAGATCCAATGACTCAAACACCTCTGAGTTTCTCAGCTACTGGCTTAATCTGGGAAGGCTGAGGGCCACCTCTCTGACCACATAGCGTCACTTGCCAGTGTCTGGCCTTCCAGACTCTCAGGTATAAATAATGGTGGTAGAGATGGAGCCTATTGGTGGCTGGGGGGCTGGAGGGTGGGGGGCAGGGCAGCATTTAGAGCAGAAAGGCTGGAGGTAAGCTGGTTCGGTGGGGGCCACAGGAGAAGCACAGACAACCTGGGCTTGTCTGCAGTGTTGTGCCTAGTGTCCTGACAGAGTCAGTGGGAAGCGGCCATGTGATCTGGATTGGTAAATGGATAAAGCATTGATCCTCACACATCTCTGAATTTACTATGGGTCTTAAAAAAATACTTTCATGTGTTTTTAAGTGTTGACTATTAAAAATCTTTTTTTTTTTAATTTAATGTTTATTTATTTTTGAGAAAGAGAGAGTACGCGCATGCGGGAGACAGAGGATCCGAAGCGGGCTCGGCACTCAGCAGCAAGCCCAATGCAGGGCTTGAACTCACAAACCGTGAGATTGTGACATGAACTGAAGTCTGACACTTGACCAACTGAGCCACCCAGGCACTCTTAAGTATTAAAAATCTTATTACGTAAGCCTCTTTTTCCTCCGGACAATTACATACCTTTGGCATATGGGATTTTTGCCTGAGCCGGTGATGGAGATGTGTGTCACAAGCCCATACTGCCTCCAAAGCGGTGGCTGCCAAAACTAACAGCTGTGAAATTATTTGTGACTGTTAAGGATAAACACATTTGTCCCTATTCATTATATGATCGGTAAGTGCTAGCAGTTCCTATCTGTGAAACTGTGATTTATTCCTTGCAGTGTATTTCTTAGTTTGGAAGTGGACACAGAAACCATGGCATCGTTTGTTTTCTTTGGGATCCAAGTTACGAGTTTGGGCCCCGTTATCAGGCAGGCCTTGGCTCCTCAGTCTCTGCAAAATTGGGCTTTCCTGTTTTTGTCATTCTCCGTTTACTTCGTAGGCATGCTTTGTGTAGGGGAGAAAAATACCCACGAAGGAAGCTTCTCAGAGGGTGACCAGGTGCACAGTTCAGCCAAGTAGGTGACTTGATGGGACGCGTCTCTTTGTGTTTGTTCGGGTCGGGAAGGGTGTGACAGCGCACTGGGAGATACTCGGCTTACAGCCAAATAACTTTTCCACCTGAGGTACGAGGCAGCTCTTCTGAGGGGTCCAGTCTCAGCTTCTTGAGAAACCGAGTATGTGGGAAGCAGATGGCCCTATGTGGCACTCCCCGTGTGCTGTGTGATGGCTGCTCACGGTGTGTTCCGAGCAGATACACAAAGCTCCTCCTGTCCATGCGTGTGTGTGTGTGTGTGTGTGTGTGTGTAAAAGTGTCACTGTGTACATAGTGAAGTTTTTGTGAGTAGAACAAGCAAAAGAACAAAGAAGCAAAAAGGCGTGGCGGGTGGAGAGAGAAATGGCAGCATGTTGATAGTTAGCGAAGCCGGATGGTGGCCACACAGGGATTCATCATACTCTTTGTGTATGTTTAAAAATATGTGCGGTATTTAAACATTTGTGTAAATGTTTGGTCCGTGCAATTCTCACTGCACCCTGTCTCTGCTGCAAACGCTGTGCTGGGTGTTTGGGTGCAGTGACAATTCTCTACTTTCATGGTGCTCAGAGCGATGGGGGACAGACATGAATCTCACATCACACAAATACTGAATATCAAACAGAGAGGCATTCTTTGAAGCACAGAGATGAGGTATTAGGAAAACTTTGAATAGTAGAAACTGCTAGGGGGAGGAAGGCTTCCTTCACAGAAGGATTTACCCAGTTGAAGTCTGAAGCGTGACTAACTGGATGCCAAGGAGAAAGGGAGAAGAGAGTTCTAGAAGGTGAGATGGGCTTGTGTAGTGCCAGGGACCTGAAGCGGTCAGGGTGATAGAGTCCTAAGGGAGGGGATTGTGGCTTGGAGGTGGGCTGGGCATGTTGCCAGGCCTTGTTATAGAATTTCCCTTGGTCCTAGGAGCAATGGACAGCTAGTAAGCAGCTGAAGCAGGAAGTAGCTATGGATCCACCTCCCCTTCCCAGGCACCATTTTGGCTACAGCGTGGAGGGTGAGTGGGGGGCAGGAGTTGTCATATAGGTGAGACACTGAGGCTGTCTGGGGTGGAGGTGGGGACAAGCTGCTGACCATGTGGATGTGGGTCAGGGAGAGGGAGGGTCAGCGTGATGGTGATGGTCCGCCATGTGCTGAGATGGGCACCAGAAGGGAGGGCCTGATGTGGAGGAGAAGCCCTGTGTTTGGTCTGGTAGAGGTGGAGGGAGATAATGCTGAGACAGTTGGTCACATGGGGTTGGAGCTCAGGGCTGAGATGTGGGCAGAGGGAAGAAGCCGGTGACTCCTCACATGCGCATGGTGCTGGGAGTCAGAGCTGCTTGGAAAGAGGAACCCTCCGTGAGAAACTAGGATAGGACAACGGTGACCAGCTCCAGCCCACCTTGGGTAGTTTCCTTTTTAAAATTAAACAAGTTATGGGACCTTTGGGTAGTTCGGTTGGTTAAGCATCCGACTTGGTTTTGGCTCCAGTCATGATCTCACGGTTCGTGAGTTCAAGCCCCACATTGGGCTCTGCGTGGACTGTGTGGAGGAGCCTGCTTGGGATTCTCTCTCTCTCTCTCTCTCTCTCTCTGTCTCTCTCCCCTGCTTGCTCTCTGTCACTCACTCTCTCTCTCTCTCAAAATAAGTAAACATAAAAATAAAAACAATAAATTGAATCAAACAGGTTATGCGTGAGCATGCTTGTCATAAAGATGTTAAGCCATGGCACGTGCATCCAGACACATACCCTTACAGACCCAGTACTGTTCTGCATATGTACATATGTGCACGCACACATGGTTTTCCATTTTACCTAAATTTTACTCAGCATTTACCCACACCACCAACTCAGCAGCTTGTTTGCTTTGAAAAAAATTTTTCCTGATGTTTCTGTATCATAAAGTCTCCTCCTACAATCCTGTCTTCCGGAGGGCATCGCCGTTGACATATTCCTTCAACTTTTTCTTCCATGCCTGTATGGTATCTTGTTACACGGATGCATCGCTATTTATTTAATTTTTCCTCGGTTACAGGACGCCTAGGCTGTCTACAGATTTCCTGCTCTTAAAAAGTAGTGTTGGGGTGCCTGGGTGGCTCAGTCGGTTGAGCATCCAACTTCGGGTCAGATCATGATCTCGCGGTTCGAGAGTTTGAGCCCCACATTGGGCTCTGTGCTGACAGCTCGGAGCTTGGAGCCTGCTTCGGATTCTGTCTCCTTCTCTCTGCCCCTCCCCTGCTCATGCTCTGTCTCTCACTCTGTCAAAAATAAATAAAACATTAAAAAAATTTAAAAAGTAGCACTGTAGTGGGGGTCCTTGAGGGCATGTTTTCATTTGTGGACATTTGTGAGTATTTTGGCAGGCTGGAGTCTTCCAGGTGGAATCACTGGGTCAAAGTGCGTGCACACTTCATAGTTTTAACAGACATTGACCAGTTGCTCCAGAAGGCCCATTTCCCTTTAACCAGTCCTGGACTTTACCTTTCTGAGTTTTTCATAGTCTCTTGGGTGAAAAGTCTTATTTTAGCGACACTTTAATTTACATTGCATCTATTACTTGCAAATGTAAGTATCCTTTAAAATGTCCACTGGCTGTAGCCAGTTTTCATGAGAAAATTGTATCTTTTGCCCATTTTTCTTTTTAAAAAAATTTTTTAATGTTTATTTTTGAAAGAGAGAGACAGAGCATGAGCGGGGGAGGGGCAGAGAGCGAGGGAGACACAGAATCTGAAGCAGACTCCAGGCTCTGAGCTGTCAGCACAGAGCCCGATGTGGGGCTCGAACTCACGAGCTGCGAGATCATGACCTGAGCCGAAGTCAGCCACCCAGCCCAGCCAACTGAGGCACCCAGGCGCCCCTGCCCATTTTTCTTTAGGGTTACTTTCCTTTTTCTACTGAGCTATAACAGTTCTTTATGTGATATGGATATTAACAGCTCTAGTCTAAGGATGCACCCAACCTAACGGCAGTCTGAGAACCTCCCCTTCTTCTCTGTCACCCCCAGCACCCTGTGTCTGTCTGTTGTCCCTAGGTCCTGCTTGCTCTCCTCTGAAGAATCTTGACAACTCTGTTCTTGGTCCCTTAAGATTCGGGACATGCTGCAGAACCTTCCCTACAGCAGACTGTCCTTGCTGTCTGGAGTAGGCTCTGTCCCCAACTCACTTCTCCCAGGGCTGCTCAGAGTCTGCTTTCTCTGGTGAGTAGGCACCCAGTAAGTATCTGCTGGTGGTGAGTAGGCACCCAGTAAGTATCTGCTGGAAGAAGAAGTGAACAGCTCTAGTGTGAATATGGAAAGTCAGGTCCACAATGGAAGAGTCCCTTGTCCTACTGGGCCTTGGGTTTCTGTCCTCATGAGGACTGTTTGGCTCCTTCATGCACTTGGCAGTTCTGACATTATGGAGTCCAGGAGAAAGGAAGTCAGCCTCTGCCTCTCAGAGGGTATAAGCCTGTCTGTGCAGGGGACTGGAGGCCAAGTGCTCTCTTCCCGCCACTGCAGTGCCCAGCTCTGTACCCTGGGCATGACCTATGTCACAGCCTTCCTTGGGCCAATTGTTTGGTACCTGTTGACTGCCAGGCTGTGGAGAGGGCCAGAGCTGGGTTCTTCCTGTCTTCTCCCTGGGGCTCCAACATCCCAGTTGGGTGGAGTCCCTGTTTATCCCTTGGTAAAATGGTGAGCTGTGGTTAAGATGTGGTTAGTGATTAGTCAGGCCTATGTAAAGGCAGGTGTCCACGTCTCCTGGATACAAACCACAGTCTCTCCAGACCTGCAGGCCCACCCACCCAACCCAGCCTGGCCTGGCCACACTGTGGCTTCCCAGAACCTCCAGCCCTTAAGGACCACCCTCACTTGGCTCTGCTTTCCACTCTGCCCACATTTTGTGTCCCTCATGCCACTCCATAGGACATCTGCTCCCTGCTGCTCCTTGGTGACAGAAGGGGACCTGGTACAGTGTAGTTTCCCAATAAATATACATGGAGTGAACAAATGTATAGAGTTCATTTGTAAGACTTCTTTTTAAAACATTTGTTTATTTTTGAGAGAGTGACAGCATGAGCAGGGGAGGGGGCAGAGAGAAAGGGAGACACAGGATCTGAAGCGGGCTCCAGCCTCCAAGCTGTCAGCATAGAGCCCGACTTTGGGCTCAAACCCACAAACTGAGATCATGACCTGAGCTGAAGTCGGACACTTAACCAACTGAGCCACCCAGGCACCCCCATTTGTAAGACTTCTGGCTGATTAGGGTTGAGTCATTTCTGCTGAGATGATCACTCTTTAGTTTTTGCTTAGAGAGCATGATTAACATTTGGATATTTAGAAAGTGCCAAGGAGGAAAAAAGGGAGGAAACTTCCTTTTTAAAAAAAACTTTGTTATAGAAAAATACAAATATATGCACAAACAGAATAGCACGTGACCTCCCATGATCCTGCCCCAGCCCTAACAAGTCCCAATTCACACCCATCCTGTTTCATCCAGCCCCTTGTCCCCACTCCTGGATTAATTAGAAGCAAACCACAGATATGCCATCCTTAAGTATTTCAGTTTGTATTAAAAATGAGGCTTCTAGAAAGAAAGTCTGAGGGAGAGATGAACTGCTAATTCCCATGTTCTGCTGACCCAGTGGGATGGTGCCCAGCATACTATGTTACCCGCCCTGAGTGGGTGTGTGTGCTATTTGCATGACATCCAGAAGGGTCAAGCCTGGCTCTAGCCACTGCACAGGTGTCTCCATGGTCATTTCCTTCCTGTGCTGGTCAGGGACACCGTCACCAGCTCAAAAACTCTGAGGGGTTTTCCTTTTTTCCATTTCCTGTCATGGTTTTGAAACAGAGAGGAAGAGTGGTATGTTGATCTGATAACCATTCACTTACTCTCAGAGTTGGTGCCACATATTTATTAGAAATTGTGGTCAAAATCATGAGTATCAGTAATATGAGGAATGCTAATGTTCCAGTGGGATAGGAAGAAACAGATTTTGTTTTTAGTTTATATACAAACAGGTATGCTTTTAGGTCTTCTGCCACATTGCTAAATGTGTATTCTTACATGAATGATGGAGGGAAATGTAAATCTCATATTTATACACATTGAGTCACTTCAGTGGAATGTCAATAATTGTTAAAAATTATGGGAGAAAAAATGTGGCCTTGAATATGATATTATTTTTTTTATTATTTTGAGCTTCTGATGGTGAAAATAAAACATCTCTCAGTTGGCAAAACAAATCAAGATAAAATGTGGGTTTTTAAAAAATGTTTATTTATTTATTTTGAGAGAGAGAGAACAAGTGGGGGAAGAGCAGAGATAGAGGGAGAAAGAGAATTCCAAGCAGGTTCCATGCTGACAGTGCAGAGCCAGATGCAGGGCTCGAACTAACAAACCCAAGTCGAAATCAAGAGTCAGACATTTAACCAACCGAGCCACCCAGATGCCCCTAAAATGTATTTTTAAAAAACCGAATGTTGGGGTGCCTGGGTGGCTCAGTTGGTTAAGCATCTGACTTCGGCTCAGGTCATGATCTCACAGTCTGTGGTTTCGAGCCCTGTGTCGGGCTCTGTGCTGACAGCTCAGAGCCTGGAGCCTGCTTCAGATTCTGTGTCTCCCTCTCTCTCTGACCCTCCCCCATTCATGCTCTCTCTCTGTCTCAAAAATAAATAAACATTAAAAAAAAAAAAGAATGTTGCTCAACAACAAAAAACCAAACAGCCTAATTGAAAAATAGACAAAGTACTTGAATAGGCATTCCTCCAAAGAAGACATACAAGTGGCCACTAAGCACATGGAAAATGCTCAACATCACTAGTCACTAGGAAAATGCAAATCAAAACTATGATGAGATATCATCTCACACCCCTTACAATGGCTACTGTCAAGGGGTGCCTGGGTGGCTCAGTTGGTTGGATGACCAACTCTTGATTTCAGCTTGGGTCATGATCTCACAGTTTCTGGGTTTGAGCCCCTTGTCAGGCTCTGTGCTGGCAGTGCAGAGCCTGCTTGGGATTCTCTGTCTCCCTCTCTC